GAGGCCACAGGAGGCTGAGCTGTAGAGCCAGGTTCTCTGCTGCTTCAGTGAATGGTAAATACTTACGGGAAACGAGACAGGCCTTCAAGAACCATGAGAACTGCAGGTGGAAATACTGCCCTCCAGCAAGGCTCTTGCCAGTGAAATGCTCACCATCGCTACTGGGGCATGGCTGACAGGAATGAACGCTATAAACAGAGCTTCCAGAACATTCCAAGAGTGAAAAACCTCTCTTGTTCCCTTCTCTGCAATGCTTATACAATACACTATCATTCATAGCATAGTATGCTGCTATTCAAGAGGATTTTTCCTCACCCTTCCACCTCCATAAATTGTTTTGGTTCCAGAATTATTTTTAATACTCATCCAGACTCCCAAGTTTTAAATGCTGGACAACCCTACAACACTCACCTGATCATAGAAAACAGTGACTTCAGATGAGGCAGATGCTTTAGGAGAAAACAACCAACCACAACAACAGACACCCAATATGCATAGGACACATGAGTTCAATTTGGATATTAAATAATTCCCGGGGAGACCTACTTTTACCACCCACTGTAAAGATTTTTGAGAAAATGAGCTTATTGCTGTGGAATTAATAATAGATCTATGCAGATTGATATTCTCAGGAGATAAAGGGAAAGGGAAAAACATTAAAAACTGATGCTCCTGGCAAATGGAAAACTAATGAACCATATTTTCCTTGAAGGATGGGAGGTGTTTTTATTTTATTTCACTCTGATGACTAGGCAAGATTTGTTCTCAGGGAGCACCATCTCCAGCTAAATGGAAACACCTTGAAAATTTTGTAGAAAATGTGGAGGAGAGCATAAGTCATCACATACCAAATATGAAGAGCCCTGAATGATAACATGCTGCAGCAGAATGTAGCTCTGATTATGATTTACTTGAAAACCAAAATAATTCTACACCATTCCAACCAGATGTTTCTATGTAAGTTTGGCAGGAACATCAGGGATTCAAACTGCAACCAAAGCCACTGTCAACTGTTTTCCAAATCTCACCTCCATTGCCATCTGAGGTTCAACAAGGCCAAGTGCTCAGAGGTGACCTTCTCTCTCTACAACCACCTGGATGGAGGCTGTAGCCAGGTGAGGGTGGGTCTCTTCTCCCAGGTAACAGGATGAGAGCAAATGACCTCAAGTTACACCAGTGGAAGTTTACACTGGATATTAGGAAAAGTTTCTTCACTGAAAGGGTGCTCAGGCACTGAAACAGACTGCCCAGGGATGTGGTATCACTGTCCCTGGAAGTATCTAAAAGACATGGCACTCAGGGACATGGTCCAGTGATGGACTTGGCTGGGCTGGGTTAGTGGTTGAAGTGGACGGTCCTAAAGGTCTTTTCCAGCCTTAATGATTCTATAACTTGATCCTTTGAAAACTATTTTACTTTCAAACTCCCTTTGAATGTTTCAACAATTCCACAGAAACAGTGAAACATTTCAGTTCATGACATCTTTGAAGCCACTCAGGATAACTCACATATTTACTCATAAATATTTACAAGTCAAATTAATGCAATTACCTGCATTTTCAAAACCACATGGAATGCTAGAAAACTGATTCTAAAATTATTTAAAATCAAAGAAATCAAAACTGATTTGCATTACTTAATATTTATTGATACAAAAGAAAAGATAATTCATAACAAACTATTTACCATTTACACTGAAGAAAGATCTTTAAGATCAATGAAACAACATGCCCCTAAAACTGGGGTGTCCGATGAAAATGTTCCATGTTCTTTAGAACTCCTCTGCATTAGATGATCTTCAATTTGCAGGTAAAGTTATGGGGAAGAGGTGTCCAACAACACATTTCTTGATCTTGTTCTAAATTATAAAAAAAACCCAGCAATTAGTTCAAATTAACACAGTTAAAAATAGGCCTATCTGTGCCATAATATTGGGGAGTTAGAAGACAGCAAAGTGGAACAACTGCAAAATGTACTCACAACAGCAAGGACATCACAGCATTCATCTACTCCAGTGGCAAATCAATAAAAACATTAGTATCATTTCAATTATGCTCAAAAGAGCACATTAGCCTAATTTAATTTCACTAATAGTGGTCTCTGACAAATGTGTTCATCTGTGCAAAACCTGGAGCTGTCAAAGCCACACCTGGTTGTGGCACTGACACTTGCTCTCCGGGTATTTTCCTAAGCTATCTCAAATATGAAATGTATCTTGTGAAGGACCAAGAGGCCTCAGTAGTTAATGTGAATGTGAGTTTCTTGTTATTTATATAAAAAGATTTTGCATGTATTTGAATTCCCTTTAACTTGGGTTTACACAAATGGTTCACAATCTCTGGTCCGCAGTTCCAAAGGTCACAAAAAGCTGCTGACAGTAGGGAAAATAACCAGGAACTAAAATGCTGGGAGAATAATATCTGATGCAATTCCCCACATCAAGTGACGGCTGAGGACTGCTACTCCACATGTAGAGTTATATGGGAAAAGCAGAAACTTGATAGCCTGGACTGTGCAAGATGCCAAATTTTCAACTGGTTTAAAGCCCATGCACAGAATAAAGACTGCTGATAAGACTTGCAGGTGAAAATAATAAGCCACTATCCAAATACAGTAAAATGTTTTGGGGTATATGTGCTGAAAAGTGTTAGCTAATTTGCCCAAAGTGAGCACTGGGCTTCTCATCAAATCCAGGTATGTCTGCCCTAGAGGGACTCCTTAGAGCCAAGACCAGAAAGGCGAGGTTAAAGCTGACACTTGTGACTCTACTTAATGTGCACATTTTGTCCTTCAGTGTGGAGAAAGGGATGGCAGTGGTTCGCTGTTTGGCAATGGCTGAAGCTCAGGCACACCCCACACTGGTGGCAGTACCGGTGTGACATGGAACAAGACTGCTCTCCACTTGAGGGGTACAGAAATAAAGCGTCTTCCCAACAAAAGCGTGAACTAAACTTATACAAGAGCAGCTTCCATAGCACAGGTTGCAACTTCACAGGATGTCTGAGGTCAGAGGGGATCTCTGGAAGTCATTGGATCCAACACTTCTGCTCAAGCACGACCACCAAGAGCCAGCTGCCCTGGATTCAGATAAGCTCCTTCCCCTCACATGAGCTCGTTTCCTGATCTCTTCTAGACCTCTTGACCTCTCTGCAGTAACCACAGCAAGAAGAATGAGGATGTCAAGCGTGTACACCAACACTCTGATGTGCTTTGCAAATACACAGTCCCACCCATGGCACTACAAATGGTAGAACAGAGATGATGGCATCTGAACTTTGTGGACAGAACTGTTCCACATGGAAGAGTATGTCATGTGCTTGGCCAGGTCTCAGCCTCATCACCAGGAGAAATGGATGAAGCTGATCCTGAGGGGCCACCCAACACAGCTCTTTCAGTCTAGACTCCTTAGACACCACAGAAACACTAAAAACCAGGAAGATTACTTTCTCCTGGAATTTACCAGAAAAGTCAAGCAGCAAGAGGGTGTGAGAGGGCACATGAGATCACACCCACATATACAGCAGTGGGCACACCTCTGTGCCAAAACCAGCTGATGCCAGGCAGCATCCCCACTGGCAAGAGGAATGAAGTTGTAAGAGCAGGTGAATGCCTGGACTAGCCTGCCAGTGCAAAATCAGGGTATGGCGTGGTGCCTAAGTGATGGCAGACACACATCAAGATTGTGCCAAGGAAAAGGAAGCCACCAGCATGCTGCATTAGTGCTCTAAGAGAGCAAAAAGCACAATATTACAGTGCTCCAGGGTAAGTCTGGCCCTGGGGAATGATGCTAGGATGGATTCTTCCAGCACTGCAGAGCCAGCCTCAGCAGATGGACGAGGTTCAAGGGCAACCAAGTGGGCCTGAAGCAGTCTCAGTTCTGCTTCTGCAGCCAGAAAAACGGCAGATGATGACAATAGCACACACCTTGCCAGTGACATCCTAGCCAACCTTCTTGGGATTAAAACTACACAAAAGTCCTTCAAAGAACAGAGGCCAAAGAAAGCTTTGCATCACTTCTCTGAGGGTGAAAATTGGAAGCTATGCCAGGCCCTGTACAAAACTTGCAGGAGAGGTAGCAAAGGAACCTTCTGAAATAATTTAAACACCTGGAACTGAGCTAAAAAATTATTCAATCCTTGCAAGTGGCAAAAAGACAGAAAAGAAACCTTTGGTAAGGAAAATAGATCCAAATGGGGCAGGAAATTAGTTTAGGCAGCAAGACAGAAAATGAAGGAGCAGTCTGAAACGTGATGGAACAGCTGAGCTGAAACAGCAGCAGGTGAATGCCTCATCCTGCAGCCTGTTCCAAGGGAAGGAAGAAAAAAAAAAAGAGACAAAAGTGAACTTCGGGCAGATACTTCAAGAAGACAACTGCCAACTTGCATATAAATACACAGTACATCACGGTGGTATAGTGTTCACATGGAATTTCATCAAAAAAAGGAAATTATTATCAACATTTCAATAAATACTTGAGGAGACCTCTCCACTGTAATTTCTGCAATAATTCAAGTTCCAGATATGAGGGGGGAGAAAACAAGGAACACTTATGCTAAGTCAAATAAATTAAGAGAGGTTTTGTACTTCATTAGCATCACAGTTCAATGGAAATGAGCAAGGAGGGATGCAGGAAATCTGGGGCTTGCACCTCGTCTAAAAGCCTCAGCATCTTATCAGAGATTAGTTTTGATAACTTAAAAAGTTCTTCAGAAGAAAATTTAAAATATTTTCAGTTAAAACAATACCAGTGTTGTAGGTTCCTCATCTTTTTTTTCCAGCAAAACCCACAAATGTATCATGCAGCACAAGTGCAGGACTGTGGGCTGACCCTGGCTGGATGCCAGGTGCCCACCAACAGAGCTCTATCACTCTCCTTGCTCAGCTGGACAGGCGAGAGGAAATACAAGGAAAGGCTCCTGGGTTGAGATGAGGACAGGGAGAGATCACTCACCAATTACTGTCACAGGCTGCAGGGGAATCTCAGCTCCAGTGCCTGGATCTCATCCCAGCTCCTTCTGCACTGACCTGCGTGGGGACAGCGCTGCTTCTCTCACATATCCTCACTCCTCTCTTCTCTGGCAATAATTACTTCTGCACAGTAACATTTTTTCATTCTTAAATGTTACCACGGAGTAGTTACCAGCAACTCTGGTAGGCTCAGCCTTGGCCAGTGGCAGATTGGCACTGGAGCTGTCTGGCATTGGCTCTGTCAGACACAGAGAAGCTGTGACTGGCTTCCCACAGAAGGCATCCCAGTAACCAGCCCCCGCCACTATCAAAACCTGGTCATACAAACCCAATACAAGGTCATAAGCAGCAGAAATCATTTCATGATAAGGTAATGATTCTGTGAGCTTCAGTGGGGTAAGCAACTGAACAAAATTAAGCTATTCTAAATTCTGATAGTTCACTCAATGTAATTTGTCTCAAAGGTTAAACAGGATGCTAACATGGACTTGGTATGCCACAAAATGAAGAGGGAAATAAAGCAAACATAATGTTTGTCTTTAAAACACAGTGGGGCTTCTTCATTATCTAAAATACTGTTCAAGTCTGGGAGCCAAGTTCTAATTTATAGCAACCTCTCTGCTTTACCTGTGAATTACCTTAAAAGTGCATAGTAGAGCTTAGCTGCTCATCAGGCAAATGTCTGCTTCTACTAAGAAAATCAGCCATAATAAAAGGCAGACAGCATTTGCTAGATGCAAAAAGGCCTCTGCAATTATCACTTAATTGTCCTTCATGGGCCAGTACAGGGAGTCTCATACTTTCCCCTTAAGGTTGCTCCCTTCTTCAGCACTTTTCTTAACTGTCTACTTAATTAGTCTTCCTTCCTGGGCTTAATTGTGAATTTGTTTTGATTAATTAGCCTCGGAGCTCACTTGGCACTAACTGAAATGTAGGAGAAGTGCTCAGTTTCTTCAGTGAATAGGCTACTGCATCCTAGGGGAGCCCCCTCTTTGTCAGCAATAAAATTTCAAGTCCAGATAGTGTTTGAAAAAAACTTTTTTGTAATTAACTTTCAATTCTTGTAATTACCCCCACTGTACTACAACACAAAAGTGTTGCTAACATAAAGAAAAGGTAAAATTCATTAAATTCAGGCCTCTTTTTAGGTGGATTATACATCATGCTCATTAGCTGAACCCTGTAGTTCTAGATAAGATGACATAATGCTCGTAAATGCAGGTGATCAGATCACTACTAGAATCCCAAACCAGGAGTGTGGGTTACCAGCAGAGACAGCTGTGTCTTTGTGGCACCAACACCAGAAAACCTTTCCCATATCAATCTTTTCAAAGTTATTGAGCTTCATTGAAAATGCTTTGCATAACCTAGACCAGTCAGTCTGTAACACCTCTGAGCACTAACACAAGAGTTCTTCATTACATTCACACCTCTCATCACTCCCTTCCCCTCCCTCTTTACAGCACATGGACTCCAGAAGACACCCTCACAGCGTTACCATGCATCTGCCATCTTGATCAATTCTCATTTCAGATACTGTTACTGAAAACACAGGAAAAGGCATCTTTAAACACCATCACAGTGAAAAAACTTTAATAAGCTAAATGGAATAATGTGTGTTAACAGTTATCATATCCATTTAATAAACTTCCTAAATATTTGTCAACAGTACTGGAATTCTTCAATTTTCAAATTTGAAAGTCCTTACCTATCAAGCTGAAAAGAGAAATAAAAAAATCTTATTCTAGACATCAATAATTATTTCTGTGAACACTTTTAGACTTGCATCTCAACAGTCAAGCTGACGAAGTAAACACTTTGTTTCTTACAGCTCTTGTGCTCCAAACAGGACTGCAGGAGTACAAAGTACCTGTGGTTTTACAACCCTTTGTGTTGTACCTTTACTTGGACAAAGAAGCTCAAATGAAGCAGATCAGAACAGGAGCTTTATGAGTGGGCTTAAAAACACAGAGCAGCTCTGCAGACAAAACTTTCAACAGATTTGTTTCTAATAATCTACAGCCCACTGTTCTGACTGATAATCAACCATGTTTTCATCTTAGAACTGGACCGTAGGACTCACTTTGGTTGTCAAATCCTAACTGAAGCTCATCCATGCAACCTGAAAAGTTTGCCTTTGAGATCTCTTCTGACTGTATTTGTGAACATCTGTGAAGTGACAGAATTCCGCCAAGGAAATGTACCGGCTTGGAAGAACTAAGAGATTCAGTTACAACAGCTGTCAATACCATTAAAAGAGGCATGGCCCATGCTCTTCAGTTAGATGTATCACCTGCAATCAATCACCATTTAAAGTAAATTCTGTATTACAAAAGACATCATGCAGAGTCTATACAGCAGTAGAAATACAGGAAATATTCCTTCATGCTGAAATGCCTTTTCAACTGTTATGAAATGAGGAAATAGCTCTTTAGGTTTATTGCATTCCCCAAATGTTAATTTAAAATCATCTGCAGATAACCAATTTAGTTGTGCACTTGCAAAGCAGAAGAAGCTGTACATGTGCCTCAACAGTTTGTTTTATTGGTCCTGTTTATTTTGTCTGTAATTACTCAGCTCACAATCTCCTGTTTGAGGTTTACAGAGCTGTACAAATATGGATGTGCATACACATCTGACTGTTCTGCAATCACTCTTCTGCTAATTTAAGCTTCAAAAAGCTTTGTTTAGTAAAACAGAACAGCTTTCTAACCAAATGAAACTACAAAAAGATGGATTTGCAAAAGAGCCTACTAACCAGTAATTTTTTTGAAGGGAGCCACAGCCTTCAAAGCTGTGGCTTTTTATTATGACATGACTTCTCAGTTAAGCCTCTTAAAAGAAGCCCCTGGATGTTACCATAGTACCTGCTATAGAACACATGAACCTATTAACATAAAGCTGAAATATGTGACTTGGCTTTTGTTTCCAGCTCTCTCAATTACTGCTGATAGAAAGCAATGAATTAAAATACTGAAAAACAGGGATAGCCACTAGGATATCAGTATGTACCCTCCAGAAACAGTAAGTGTATCCCACATTTTGTCTCTTTCAAGACAAAGATCCCAACTTCACTCCACAACAGGTAACACTGGTTAACCAACTTCAGCCTAGCTCCACAAACACCTGGCTAAACCACAGTAGCTAGTGGAAGTGAGATAACTCAGCAGAGCAGAAAACAGGCTGGCAAGAAGAATCCCAGGTATGCAGGCAGAACACTAACTTCTCACATTTCAAAAAAGGCTTATTTCTTTGCACTATCCTGTTTGGCCTGCTGTACACAAAAATGTAGGAAGCAGGAACCAAAACAAGACCAGGCAGAGGTGAAACATCAGCTGCTGCTTCTGACTAGCAACTGATTATTGATTGACACACCGCAGAACTCAGCAGCCATAGGAGTCCTGGCACTCAGAAGATTCTCCTGCACCTCCTCACACTATATTTAGGCTAATGACACAGCAGCAAATTTCTAACAAGTGCCAAGTTGAAGAAAAAAATTTGAAATGCAATCCAGACCAACAGTGAACAACCCAGGTCCTGCTGTGTACTAATGTTTTAAAGAACAATTTTGTGCAAGTAGCTGCAACAAGTAGCAACCTTCAGTAGTTAAGTCCTACTGTGAATGGCAGCTGATGTACATCTCCTTGCAAGAGAATTCAACTAAATTTATCTCCACCTGTAACACACTGTTCTTCCTGCCTTTCAAAAACCAGACCCTAATGAGCACAGAGGCCAGCAAAGGACTAAGAACTGTGCTTGAAGCCCCATCTACTGACAAATAATAGAACTGTTGCTAAACCAGAGCAATATTCCAGAAAACATCCCTTAACAAACCTTCTTATATTGCTTCTTTTAAAAAGCAATCCACAAACCTCTGCAAACTACACAGGACATTTCTCTCGAGAAACCAACCAGCCAGAGAGCAACAAAGCCATCCAGCCTAAAAAGTTACATACTTTACCAAATCTGCCCTGTTCTCCTTGAAACTCCCAGCTACAGAATTAGGAAAACACAAACAGGCATGCTGACCTGAAATCTGCATTTGAACATCTGCACTTTCCAGGAAAAGGTCTGCACAAATTAAATCTGCTTTAGAAAGCATCCTGAAGAACTTCTTTCTCTTGACTCAGAAGAAAACCCCCTCACAGTCTCACTGCCAAGTTGCAGGGGACAAAGACATATCTGTGCCTGATATGATGACATTGTCATCACTTCTCATCCCAGCCCACCAAATGAAAACACATCCCTGGCAAGCAATAGCCTCCTGAGCTCTGCCACAGCATCCACCCACACTCTCCTTTAGGACCACGAGCCCTGTAGTCCATGCACATTAAGTTATCTACACTAACCCTTTAAGTATCCATCCTTCTGCTACCCGATCTGCAGACAGGTAACACAGAAAAGAATCTGCAGGGCATTTTTGTTCAGAACTCCCTGGCTATTAACACAACTGAAAAGTTTTCTTGTTCTCATTTTTAACTGGAACCAATTTGCTGCTGGGATCAGAGACCATCACATCCATGGCCTGACCACTGAGAGACCTGCTTGGGTTAGATGCAGAGTCTTAGGTTTAATCCTAGCCCTGTACTTTTTCCAAGTGGCAAAGTTCCAGATCTCTGTAGGCCTGAGGAGCTGAAAGACTGAAAAACTAAACGTTTTAGTGGGTGGGAGCCCCTCAAGCAGTGAGACAGCATGTGTGCCCATCTGGTAGCTGGTATGGCTCCAGCACAGGAAGGACATTATTTGAATCTTGCTGACCTTGAAGAGACCAACCCAAGCCCAAAATCTAGAAGAGCTGCCAACATCTAATGTATATCTAGTGATATAAATGACTTTTTATTTTTTAACTCTTAAACTGCTTACAAAAGTTGAGGCTGGAAAAAAAAAAGGACTTTCTGTGTAGTCTGAACTCTGATAGCAAACAGTTTGTTGCAAGACAGAACTAAATAGCAATAGGCATGTTCCTGTTTCATCTTCTCAGAGTTACATGTGACTTAGCCATGAATGAAAAGACAGCACACAACTTCTACCAAGTATTTCCATCGTCAGTCTATATATGCACTAACCACAGGAACTACTGCTTGAAAGAGAATGACAGAAAGTATTAGCTCAAATTCTCCAATCCAAAGGATCTTACACAGAGGCATGGCAATCTTGGTGTCCAAGACCTTTCACAGACACAGGAAATTAGCTGACAGCTGAAAGGCAATTCCTCTTTCCTACTTTAATGTATACTCTAGATTTAGCATAAAGATCATGGCCAAGACTCGTTACAAGGTTAGTGCTCAATCCTCAAGTCCTTAAGAGTTACGATTCCAATTCAATTTTCCTTATCTCCTTCTCTTCAAGGATAGCAATGACCAGAGAGAGAAAGCAGCATGAGAATAGCTGTAGTTTATCCTTATCTTCAGCCAGAAGGAACCTCGAAGAGCTTGGGAGACAAATGCTATGTATACCATCTGCTGTCTAGACTTGGCTTCTAGAGTATACAGTATAATTACAGCTTTCCCAAAGGTCCTCATTATTATCCAGGAACACAGCAAGCAAATCAAAAGGAGATATTAAAGTAATGCATTTGGCAATGACCTATCACTGTTACACAAAATAAAGCTATCAACAATGTTCAGAGCTAATCAGGCCATAGCTTCCACACAAAAGACACAACTGATAAGCTCCTACTTAAGAGCTCCTATTTTCCTATTCAGATTGGAGGCACTAATCATCCAGCTGCCAGACAAGGAAGGGTTGCCTGTCGTTAACATATGAGGAGGCAGCTGGACCCCAGCACAGCAGCCTTGCAGCAGCCCATCTCCTAGACAACAATTACTGGAATGCAAACAGGTTTGTCATTTAAACAGAGATTATTCTAAGCAGGTTGTACTAGGCAGTCGTTAAGACTATCTATCAGATGTTAGCTGAGGATGCCAACGTTTTTTCAAGTGCTAAGCTTCTTTAGGGAGATTAAGCATATTGATACAATTTGGAACAACAAATACACCCTCACATTTCATACTTATATCTTTCTGTCACTGGATGGCACAAGAACAGCAAGTGATGCAGAGAGCAAGGCCCTTCAGTATGTCATTTCAGTTTGTCAGCAAACTACCAACATTCTTCTGGGTTTTTCCCTCAACTCTTCTTATCTTGATTTCAGCTGCTCTGTATTCATTTGTTAGGGCAGGTCCACTCAAACGTTTTTGTACGTAAAAAAGACTTCAGAACATACGAAAATTTGACAAGCGTTTAAGCAAACTTCTTTGCAGAAAGTTCTTCACCTGTCTTTGAGTTGTGTGAAGAGAAGAACACTTTCTTCATTCAGAAGATTACGTATGTTATATCCATTTCCTACAAAGAAAAACAGAGTAAGTTTTCCTTAGGATCCACTGGCAATTTTTGAAGTCCTCTCCTGTCTTCAACCAAGTATAGTCCATTTTATACATTTTAACAGAAGGAATATTAGCTCTTAATCTAGGATACTACTCTTGCAGACAGGTCAGTGCATTTCAAAGAGATGACAAGGCATACACCTAATGTGATTTACTTTCATCTATGCTTAGAAAATTTTTACTGAGAAGAATGTAACAGGCATGAGATCTCAACTCTCAAAACCCATAATAAAACTTTAAGGTGACTGAATTTACTTTAATTTATTCCTACAGAAACTATCAATAAAAACTGCACATGGAAACTTATCTGCAGATCTACACTTGAGATTTGCACACTAACATGATGACAAAATAGAATTATCTAATAGGCCCTGAACACTGGGAATGAAAAACATCCTCACATTCATATACAGCCACACGATGAATTACAGGGATCACCTGCTACACTGCATTGCCCCTCCAGCCATACTGAGACTGGCCATCAGAAAGCAGGGAAGAATGAAGAGTAGATCCTTATGATCACACAAAACTTTCAGCATTTTATATAATCTGCTCTCCCAAAAAGCAAATGACAGAATTGTCACTGCAGACCCACTAGACTTTTAAGACTGTAACACCAAAAAACAACTTCAAAGCACCAAGCATTAACTGAGCAATGATTGGTCAGGACACTGTGCTGAAAAGTTAACAGGGAAAAAATGGGCTAATTCTTCATTTTCTGAAGATAAGCCTCTTCACAAGAAAGCTGTACAAAAGCTCTCTACAGCTTCATGAACAGCCTGCCTTAACACTACTATGAAATCTCCAGACCAGTGTCTTAACCCACTGATGAACAGCCTCCCATATGGAATTCATGCCACTTTTATATCAGAATATACAAAATCAGGACTTTAAATTCTCAAGAAAACATATGAAGTTACAACCTATTCAACAAGATAATCTGAACCTTCTATATACAAGTACAAAGCACAAAATATGGTGAACTGATCCAAATGGATTTTCACAATTTTACATAGGAGAAAAGCAGCAAGCTTATGGTGACAGAAACAATTATATTAATTACTAGTAGCATTAGGCTGTCTGTGATGTTTCCTCAACATTAGTGACAGAACAAGAATACCAAGAGAAATTTACTCTTAGAACTTGGTAGTGTCATCAAAACTTTGAGGCCAGCTAACATAAACAAGAGGTATGTGTATCCCTGCATTCAACCATTAGATCATCAACCCATATCCAGTGTTGTGTCCCATTCCATTCTTCCTCACCCTGTACTGTCCCATTCTCTATTCAATCATTCTGTTTGGTTTTGATTCCTAGCATGCTGATTTAGTCTCCTGCACCTCCCAACAAATGGGTTTCAGACACACACACACTCACCTGCTGGAACGTAGAAGCAGTCCCCTGTAGTCAGGCAATACGATGTGTTATGCAATGTCACAATAACTTTGCCATGGATAATATGGAAAGCCTTAATGGAAGCCAAAGGGTTCTAAGGTTAGCACCATTTAGGGAAGATAACCAAGAAAACACTTGCACACACGTAACAAAGATAAGAACCCAAATCAGCCAGCAGAGCTGCAATCTCTTTTCCCCATACTGATGAAAAATAAGATGCACAACTCAAAAGGGGGAAGGGGTCCATCCAGTTTTATTTTTCTGATATTTCTATGTTGCTGCAAGATTCACAAAGTAGGAGCACATGGACATAGGGATTTAATACAAAGCCAAGCAGGGCAATGTGCATGCAAAGAACCTTCAGCAAACAATTCATTAATGTTCATTTGTTTTGGGGGGCAGGGAGGACCTCTCAACTTCATATGTTATTTCCAACCACCCCAACAGATCTTCTGTTTACAAAGTCCATTTCATAATTTTGTTTAAAAGCACACTTACTATTGTATCCATGTTGACAAATTGATGCCCCTTTTCTTTATATGGCTTCAGAATCAATCTACCAGTCGCAAAAAGAGATGTATTCAAACTTTTTTGTATTTCCATTGCTTCATCTTTGAAGAAGTAAGCGTGAGTGTCTGCAGTGTTTACACAATCTACAAAAAATATCCAGGAGATTAACATTAATGCTACCACGTAATTAGTCTTGTTACAAGCTCAGTGCAATACATATTGCTTCAGTGCAACACCTCCAAAAGCTAGACTCAACATTCAGCTGAAAAATTAGGACACTTCTTATGTCTCCCTCAGAACTTTCTCCAGAAGAGAAATGAATATTTTTTAATGCCCAATGTGGCATGAACTTTTTTTTTTTATCCTAAGTCTACATAATTCAGGAAGTCCGTTGGTCACATCCATCCAACTCACCTCGATGCACTTCATTATTTGTTACTGGGTCCAGTACAATGGTTGGCTTAGATGCATCAGCTAGGCTGTGGTGCAAATTTACAGGTATCTCTTCTCTATCTGAGGAAGAAAGACCAAAAAAGTAATCAATATAGATTTCAAAAAGTTAATAATTTAACCACAACTTTTCCACAATTTTGATGTCATGCATTAAATACTTGAATTTCCTTTAATAAGTGACTAAATAGACTGAATACTCTTCCTTCAAATAAAGAAAACCATCCATAATAATTCTTTGAAAATGTCTTTTTCATTGAAATAATTTCTGTGTGTTATAGATGAACACTCTCTAAATCCTAAGGAATTTCCTGGGGAAATGCCAACTATTTATCCTATGCAATTAAAAACAGTATTTATTCAAAACTAAACTCTGTGTTTTGAGAGAAGTGTTTTTCTACCAACAGATGCTGAGAGAATATGAAATACATGATGAAGTGTGAAGAACAGGTGGTTTTGCTCAACCTATTGTTGATAGCCATCAGGGGACTTAAGAGAGAAAGCGTTCAAAGATAAGCACATGTCCAATTTTCCTTTTCTCAAGAAATAACATTACAGGAATCTCACTCTAAGCTGTAAATCTCAGAACTATTGCTATAATAAAAAGGACTTTTCCAGAGAAAGAAATATCCTAAGAATTGATGACAACACTATGCTTTTCAAACAGAAAAGAGATGCTTTAGAATGTTCACGGCAGAATAAATATCCCAAAGCTCTCTTGCAAAATTCTCTTAAGCAGACAATTTTAGCTCTACAGTGCACAGGAAATTTCTTTAAACACAGACAGGAGCAGCATGCTAAAGGCAAGCTATAGCACTCTGTAGGCACTCATGGCAGCTTAAATACTCTTACAGTAAGACAATCAGAGGGAGGAAGACAGTTACTGTGTTTGAACAGCTTTGTTCCAACATAACCATCTCTCTATAAAAAGAAGTAACAACAGGTACAACTCTATAGCTATAAAAACAGAATTTTTATTGTATCAATAACATTTAAGAATTTGTGCTAGAAATTTTACTTGGCTGACAGGCCTTACATACATCACTAAGACTCAAGGATGTGAGTGAAAGACTATCTCTGAGGATGAATGTCTGTCACAGAGGAAATCAATCACTTCTGAAGACAGTTCAAAGGCACTTGAAGCAACCAATAGTTCTTTTAAGATACAGTATGAACAGTCACTACCAGCTCAGGTTCTCATGGGCTGCAAGTAATTTATATTACAATATAAACTGTACTTGGATCAAATACTGATCTATACCAGGGTCCCGTCTCCTATCAGTGGCCCAAAGCAGGTACTCCCTCCATTCCTCAAAATGCCATAATAATATACTCAATATAATATATTCAATGGAATACTTTCCACCTCTAACCTGGAGCCCCCACTTTATTTAGCGCTATTAACGCTCCTGTTAATGTATCTGGTCCTTGCCTTGAAACTACATATTTTTATACACAATATTCTGGGCAGGAAGTACACAGTGAGAATGGCCACCTTATTTTGCTGAATAACTCAGCTCTCATTGTCTTCCTTCCATACCTTCTAGTTCTTGTGTTTAAAAATCAAGAAGAAAACCCCAACAAGACCATTTACTTCTATTTCCCTTCTCCATGTCACTCATGATTTCAGAGTTGTTTTTAGACCTCTTCCTTACAGGCCTCCATAGTACTTTCTTCAGGGCTGAGGAGAATTCACTACAGACGTCCTTCTAGGCTTTCCCTAAATCTTCTCTAGTCCTACTACTTTCTTTTTGAGGTAAGGAATAAAACTTAAATGAAACACATAAAAAATCAGAAATTGGTACCAACAGTGATTGTTTTCTTCCTTATTTCTCTGATGATTATGTCAGTCCTGATTAGTTTACTACTAGAACCATACAGCATTTTCCATGTTTGTTAGCACATGTTTTAATAGTTCTGTAACTTCACTGAGAAATGTTTCAGTTTCAAACAAAAGCTCTAGACAGTCCCCATAAAGAAAGGCTCTTTAGCATTACAACATCTTCCCTGAGAGCACAGCAAAAATAATTTGGTTTTAGGACTTTGACTCTCTTTTTGACCACTACTTATATATTTATTATATACTGGCCAAAGAGTCTCAGTTTGCTTAAACATAGATTTATTGCCCACTTTTAACCATTTTATGCACTGTTCTTAAAGCTCTCTCTTCACCTACCATGTTGTGATTTTGTATTTAAACTACAACAGCTTGAAGCCCTACTAACACTCTCTGCTGCATTTTTAGATGTATGACTGGCATCAGTAAAATGGCTACAAGTTTTTATACCTTAACTGTGCAGCCTAGCATCATGATCCGAACACAAAATGAATACAGTTTAGTCTCTTCAAACCCTGCTTTAAAGGCACGACAGCACTTCTGGGTATGTCTAGCATTTCTTCCTTTCTTAGGCTGAAAAGTGAACAATTTTACTGCAACAATGTACAGCATTGCAATAGATCCAGTAGGAGCAGGTTTTTTCTCATCAGATCATATTAATAAATTATGGTATAAAATTATTCTCACCCAGAGAGAGAATTGATTGTTTACAGGAGAAAAATCTTAGAGCAGTAGAGCATTTGATTAAAGAGACTTTTTAAAGTATCCAAAGGAAAAAAGTCTTTGTTCCTACTTGTTTGATCTCTTTTCTGCTTGGGAGAATCCTTTCTCCTTTTACTCTTCCTGGGAGATTCTGTTTCTGGATGCACTAGTCCACTCATCACAAGCCCTCCTGAAACAAAAGGAAGTTAAACAAAGTCCACTAACTCCTAGTAAATCTAAAAGAATGCAAACTTGCACAGCTAACCAGCCTTTCAATTGAGAATCGACTTCCTTGATGCTGAACTTTTCAGATCACTTTAGAAAGCCAGAACAAACAAAAAAACTTTTCAACATTAAGTACTTTGGAAGTGCAATGCAACTTGAGACATTTTGAAAATGAGTTGATCAAATTTCAGTCAAAGAACATTTCAGAAAGCCATGACGTGCAAATAATTTTTTAAGACAAAATATCACTTTTATGAACACAAAAATTACTATTTTTGAGTGAACTAATTAATTAGGAAAGGACTAAACTAGGCTGAATTATCAGTAAAAAAAATCCTGAGAACAAGATCTATTTTCTCACTTAGGGTATTTAACACTGAGACTATAAAATGTTATAGTAACTGCTCTCAAAAACAATCCTCACACAAAAAGAAATGCTCCAATGACTGATCCAGTAGATTGTTTCTTTTTCCAGTATCGTATGCAATCTCTGACATAAAAAACCTACTAATACAGAGAAACTGTTCTGTTCTTCCCTCAACAGTGAAGGTAAAAGTACTTAACATGCTCTGCTGACATTATTTTCAGCTGACACAGGAGTGTCAGAAGAGCAGAAAACTACATGGAGAGATGACTAAGTAAGTGGAGACCACAAATAATCTTTTTTAAAAAGTTACCCAACAGTAAGCATCTCAAGGCTTGCACAGCACAAGATCACTCAGATTTTTCTTTTGTGCTTTATCAGAAGGAAGCAAATATTGGTATTTTGGAACCAATACCTGAAGGGTCCATAGCATAGTTTATGCGCTCGCCTCTCCAGTATTCCAGAGGTCTCATCCGTATCCTTTTTGTCCGACGAACATTAGGTGTGTTGGAAGGCATAACTGATTTGAAGGATGAAGTCATTAAGTATGAAAGAAAAATTCAGAGACAAAAAATATTAAGTATTCTTAAAATATTAAGTATTCTTTCTTGTTCTGTACCACAAGTGAGTCAGCCCTTCCCAGCTGATATTTTTATCACATTGCTATCACGACAAGAAAATAGAATTCAAGTTATCACCAAATGCCTTCTTTTGCATAAATCAGTATTTCACCCTCCTTTTTCTTAAACAATCACTACCCTGAGTTAATATTAGATTTCATTCTATATATCTTCGTGAACCACTGATACACAGACATTAGGAGCTCAAGGACAGCAAACATGCTGCATCTGTGAAGATAAAGTTCTCAACAAAGACTAAGAATCCTGCCTGAATCTGGAGGGATTTCATCAGCAACTATGAAAAGGCACTGCCTCAGTTATGGGAACGGGAGGGTAACAGAGACTGCCTAAGTACATCATTCTCTTCCAGATTCAGAAGTCCTGTTTCCAGGGTCCAGAAGAGCAACACTTTTGTGAAAAGAAACTCCACACATTTCCAAGATTTCTCAGATATTTATCTTCAGATAAATACTGAAGACTGTTCACAGTCTCAAGTTGTGTAAGCTGCCATATATGAATACAGTATCGTATTTTAGTGTTTGTAAGAAGAGTAAAAGCACTTTAAGATCTCAAAGCAAATTAATCAAGAATATTTAAATGTTAAAAATGGTAAATACAAAACAGTTGCTGAAATAATTTTTGAAAGTAGACAACTAAAGTGTTGTGCATAAAGTAAGAATGAAGCCAATAAAAAACACCAACAATGTAAAACAGATGAGAGTGGGACTACAACTGACTGCATGCCCATTGTTCCATCCTATCCAGACTCAGACCACCACAGAAAGCAGGTTATTTGCACCCTCAATTTTACTGCATAAAACCAATTCAAACTCTTACTGTTCTCACTGTACAGTAAGAGTTTGTCCTGACTCAGTTTTTAGGAATACATTCAGTGCACATAGCTGGGTGTGGAGCTGCAGTGCCAGCCAGAGAGTGAACCTCCTCTGCATGGGAGCCTCAGGCAAGAGGTCATGAGCTGATGCTGACGCTTTGAACCACAATGGGCACAGGGACCTGTGGCCCAGCCCAGTGACTGGACACTCAGGGACACAGCAGGAGCTGAGGACTCAGCTGGAAGGACCAGCAGGACCCTGGACTGTTGAGCACACAGAGGGTACAAAAGCCCAGATAGTCCTTTGTTCCAGTTTAAGCTGTTATTCTGTTTCTACACCATAAAATTACTTAAAGGAACCAGAGGTCTGAGACACTGCTATGAGAAACTCAGAGTCAAGCCAGCAAGGAAACCTTGTCTGGCTGCTTAGAGAGTCAAATGGGGCACCTGTCAGGGCACTGGAGCCACCCACTGTAAAGGGGTTTCAGTCCCAGGACTTTATGTCTGTGGTGGTGGGAGCGTGACTGCCAGAGTGGCTCCTGGATGGGCAGATCTGGAAGTTTCCTTAACAATACCATGAAAAATGGAAGTGTGGCAGTTAAAGAAATAATTGTTGAATGGAGCAACAAAAAAAGAAACACTAGAAGTTTTAAAAAATAACTTTCAAATTAAGAGAAGGGCTGAAGGCCTGAAGAAATAACAAACCCTATCTGTAAATACTTATGAAGAGATGAACCCATTTCTAGGTGTTTGTCTGTGTCTCCTTCAGCAACATTTACATCCAGTTGAAAATGCATTTGCATTTAGACACTTAACTTATGACATTTTAAAATACTCTTACCTATTTTATGCTTTGGTATTTCATCTGACAACAGATATCTTACTTTGCAATTCAAGTCTTCAGAATTATCTGAAAACACATTAAAAAACCCCATCACCAAAGGCATTTATTATTCCTGACTTTTATTCAATATGCCGACTAGAAGCAACCAAAAGTAACACAAACAGAAGTCCCAAGGACAGTGCTTCCACCAATACCTTTTGCTATAAACATATATGAAATCCAGTGCACATAAACAGTATCTGTAATTAGTTTTAAACAGAGTAAACTTAAAAATTACTTGAAAACTATACATTCAAGTAAATACTCCTCAGACCTATCCCTCTTGATAAAGTGAACATTGACAAATTATAAACTAGACACGTAATATTATTGATCAAAGTGCAAGGTCATTCAGATTTATATCACTGAAACCTAACTTCACAACAAATTTTTTGCCAGAACACACACAAAACTGGGTATCTGAAAAAAGCATTGCATGGACTAATAACATTCACATGTGGCTCTGAAGCACTAATGAAAAGACTTTGTATCTCCAGGGCTCATGTTCATGACGATAACATGTGAAACTTGTGCAGTGAAATTTAAAACTGGAACCAAACAAATAGTAATAACCCTCCCCACACAAAAGCCCCCAAACACAAAACCAAACCAAACAGCAAACAAAAAAACCTCTAACACAACAAAGCAAACAAAAAACCCCCCAAAAAAAAAAAAAAAAACAAACAAAACAAACAACTCCACCCCCCAAGAATCACCAAACCAAAGTATTCTTTGGGGAACAGGCCATGACTCCATCAGTGCTGTAATTTGGCTCAGGTTTACCTGAAGTGACTGCATACAGGACCATCACATGGCAACACATCAAACTGGTACAAACTGAGCCTGAAAATTTTGTTCCAAGTATTTTAGAAAGAATAACTTTATCCTGGTACGCATGATGCCAAAACATGGAAGGCTGTGTTCTCCCAAAGCTAACCACATAAAGCTGGCATGCTGTACCACACACTTGGACAGAAATGTAACCACAGACAATAAAATCTGCATTTCTTCTTCTGGACAAGCTGAATACAACAGAAATTACTGAACTGTCAGTCAAAGTTTATAAGAAGCTTATACATAAAATGCAAGGAATTACAAAGTTCAAACATTACCTGAAGATATATTGTCCAGCTCAGGAGACTTAGTGCTGGAAGTAAGTCTATCTTCTAGAACAGGCCCACTGCAAAGGAATAAAAATACACCTGCTTCAACACGTCAAAGGAACATTACAGCACTACCAAGAATACAGCACTCCATGAATTTAAGTTTTTTTAGATCATGTGGGCTGGGTTCTATTTTGCTTTTAAACAAATCTATACCAATTAGACACTGAAGCAAATGACTACTCCCTAGAAATCACAGGTCAAAAGTACATGAACTACTCCCCTACTTGCTCATCAGGCAGACAATTAGTGTTCACACCTCCTCTCTAAAGAGGTTTCCTCAACTTTTTCTTTTTTCTCCATTCCAGAACAGACCTTCTCCCCACCTCTGTAGCATTACCTGACAATTTTCCATATACCATAATTATAAAAGTGCTTTAAAGAGTTGTTTTGCATACTCTACGGAAAGGACAGTAAAATAATATGGAGTCTGTCATGAAACCTCCCCCATAAATGGCAACAATTTACACATATAACTCCAACAGAGATTCTCTACCAATCAAGCCATTTGTAACATAACTTCTCCTACAGACTTAGAATCAGTACCCTTGACCTTCCTTCTTCCCCCATTTGAGGCTGTGCTTCACTGCTTTTACTGTGCCAGTGAAGTTCAGCTGCTACCCACCCCAACTCCAAAAGGTGCATTTAAATTATCTATACTGCAAATTTGTCCAAGTCAGTCTGCAGTAGGTTCCCCTTAGAAATAAAGACCCCAGCATTTTCAGTACAATGACTGCGTAAGAATTTAATAAACTGACAGACTACCACTCCTGTTTGCTTCATTATTAAGTTTCCTTCTCATGAAAGGGGAAGATACACGCCTATGCACATGCACAAAGAGTTTGGATTGTAGATAGAGTTCTATACCCTACTTCACATCAATTTTATTAGCGCAGCTGTCATTAGTTCTAGGAGCACTGATCTTTCTGTACAAAAATTACACACTAATGTGGAAGCAAGCCTCAAAGGAAAAAATCCCCAAAGGCAAGAAGCTTATTACGACCCCCTATTCATGACAGGAAAAAAATTGTATTACTTTATTAACTGTATTAGCACAGTATTTAAAGCCCTCAAGCAGGAATCACAATCCTGTTCTACTCAGTGTTTCACCAGTAGGGCACAGAACACAGCAGCTGCACCCCAGTCTCAGGGGGACTCCATGGGGCAGAAGTAGGATTAAAGTAACGTTTTTCAGACAACTCAGGAAATTACCTTTTGCAACTCTCAACCTTCTCAAAGGAATCCCTAGAAAAGAAAACAATATTCTTATTATATTTGGTGTTAAGTAAACTTAATGAAAGGAACCTGTAGGTCAATAATTTTATGTCCTGAAGAAAACTATAAAAAAGACATTAAAAAAAATTAAAAATCAATACAAAGACCAATGATTATAAACCAGGTTTTAGACCACTTGAACTTAGTCTTTAGATTGACAAAAAAAAATATAGCTAAAGAATTAAATGCTGTATTTTCTAAATTTATTTTCAAAAAGGACACTGAAGTTATTCCATGGGTGGTGGGGTTGTGTTAAACTAGATCTGCTCTGCAAGTCTCACCAGAAGACTTTAACTAGAACAAGTTTCCTCATGTAGGAGACACTAAGTATGACACCCAGCTTTGAGAACAGAATGCTGATTAAACTGCTTGGTTTCTCTATTAACTATTCAACCAGCCTCAAACTACCACATACTTGAACTGGGCCATCACCGCTTAAAAGTTGACAAGATGTATTTAACTATCTACCAAGTTATACACCACATTTGTAAAGAATCACACAAAAGACTTACTGTGATCCATGCTGCCTGTTATGTTTTCTTTTGTTACTTTTTATTTTCACATCTGGTAACATCTGTTTTTTCCTTGCCATGTCCTGTACAGAAGAGCTGTCAGAATCTGTTTGAGACTCAGGGCTTTCAGAGCTTGAGCGAAGAGCTTTATTGGTTCTGCATGGAATCTTTTTGGTTATCTTCCCTAAAGACTTGGCAGACCTTTTCTTTCCACGATCCTTCACACTCTCCACAGGATGCTGGAGTGCTTTCAGAGGAGTTCTGTTATTGGCACCACTAGGTGACTCTGGTGTGTGTAACACATTTCTAGGCTTTTCAGCCTTAGTCAACTTCTGAATCACAGGAGTCTCCTTCTGATGCAAAGATGTGGTGCATGCTTCATTCCGTTCTAAAGGCTCTCTTTCAAGCTCTTCTTCACTAGATTCACTGTCAGAACTCTCCTCTCTTCGTAACTGGGGCTTTTTATTACGACTTTTCTGGACAGATATTTTAAGCTTTTTCCTTGGAGTTACTGTCCCGCTCTTAGCTACTTTGACTTTTGGAAGTTTCTGATTAGCAGTTTGTTTCTTCTTAACTAAATGTTGAGAAGCTTCAGAAGCCAACTGCAGATTCTTGGAAGACCTGAGAGACTTCTTCAGTGACACAGTCTGTTCTTTCTGATGCCCAGATGAGGGCATAGGCAAATCCTCACTTGGCATCCTTGTTTCACACTGCTCTTCATCAGATGGTTCCGTTTCCAATCCAGCCCATGACAACATTGGTTCTTCAGCTTCTGGTTTCCGGGATGTGTTCTTTTTCTGGTTTGGAGAGTCTTGTCTAAGAGCATCCTTTTTAGTCTTTCCTGTCAATACACAAAATATTTGGATATTAATACCTTTTCCCATTAAACCTGAAGATATATGTTGACATATGAATGCACAAAAAAAACCCCAAAGAATCAAAATGGGGAAGAAATAAAAAAAAAAAAAAAAAAAAAAAAAAAAAGGGTATCACAAAACCAGTTTTATCACCACTGGCTAAAGAAGGCTTTCATTAAGCTATAGTCTACAAAAAACTTTTTGGTGTACTTCCAGTATTTCCTAATAAAAAAAAGGGGGCAGAAACGTTACATTCAGTCTGCTTTCCAGTTTTCAGTGTTTTGTGCTACAAAACCCTTCACAAATAATTCCTAAAACTCAATCCCCTTTCTGTCCAAATAACTGCTTTTCTATGTCGAGAGGAACAAAAGCTTGTTGGGTACCTACTTTCTATACAAAGTAGGTACTCTTCATATAAAAAGGCAACACTGCTAATTTAATTGTTAATGTTCTAACAGGAAAGGCAAAGAATGTGGTGAAAAAAGTGAAGACACTGTCTCACTGCCTTTCTGTCTCACCCAAATCTAACTGCGCAACTGAAACACCAAATAAGGAATCTATTGATGTCTTTCATCTACTTTATTATAATTTTCTTATAAAACACCAGAAAATAATCCAGTAATGTGACCTGTAAGGAAAAGTCTGAAGAGATGTTAAATAACTTACCCACACAAGTACTCTTTTGGCTTTGAGATGCAAGGACACTTTCTTTCCTGTTAGAGATCGGATCTGACACTGGCGTTTCTTTGAAGTCAAAAGCTCCAACTTCCAGATGATCCCGTTCCTGTTTATTAAGTGCTTTTACCTGTACTTTTCTGTTCTTGACTTTCTTATTCTGTGTCTTTTCCTTTTCAGAGGGGTGAGGTTTAGAAACGGGAGCTGCAGAGCCATCATTTTTTGGTTTTTTTTTCTTAGTGGGTATTGAAATCCAAGAAGTAGAAGATGCATCACCTGACTCATCAATTAAAAATTCACATTCATCTTCTATTTCTTGGTATTTCACAGGACGAGGTGATGGTGGTGAAATGGAGGTTGAATATCTAAAGAATGGAGGGAAAAAACATTCATATCAGGGTGGGGGGGAAATTGACTTTCAGTCTTCCAAATTTAGTGGTAACTCCACACACCTAGACACAGTTCAGAATGTTCCTCAAAAGAATTATTATAAAGTTCATCCATCATATGTTCCACATTCAGCCTCCATACAAACCTCTGTACAAGTGTTCCTCTTGCTACAGCTGCTAAGACAGCTGCAGAGAAAGCCTTCTCTGTCCGGGCAGATGATGCAGTAACACGTTCTGTTCCTTGCACAGGAACAACTGGCTCATCTCTCCCAGGCTGAGCTCCTTCCAAATTTTCCACTTCTCCATGGCTCTTTGCTGTAGCTGGCGTACTCCAGTTATCAAAATGAAATCTATGAATGAGAAACAGCATTCAAATATGCTACTATAAATCCTGAGTGCACAATAAAGTATTGTGAGGATGAGCAGATGCTCCTGCTGACAGCATCTCACTTCCTATGAATGAGCTTCCCTCTGGAAACTTGCTGCAACACAGGTTAGCAGTAGTGCTTTCCAGTAAAGAAGCAAGTGCCCACAGGCAACATGGAGTCAGCATGTGACTCTTGTTCAAAGTAAAGGCTGCTCAGCAAGACAAATTCCTAATTTTAGGAGGATGTGCTTGAGAAATTGTGAGGTTTCCTAGACTGTAGTGCACTGTCTTTCCAATCTCCTTCCATCAAAGGGAGTCAATGGGACCAGTGTCAGTCCATCTTCATGACCTACCCCAGAGATTCAGTCCACTAGGAAAGCCAGGACACTGGCCAGTGCTGCAGTTCAGCTTCAAGTCTTCCAACAAGGAGATAATAATCACAACTGAAGTTATTTTACTTTGAATAAGGCAGAGCGAGAGGAACAATGACTGCTCATTTCTGGTTTAACAAATTTTTGTTAACTTTTGAAGTCAATGCTGTCAATAGGATTCACTGAAAAAGTCTAGACAATCTGAGAAGCTGATACTTTGGTGCACTTTCCTGGAAAAAAAAGAGTTTATGTTTATTTTGACAGGCTTCCTTCACTTGGTACTGGACTTATCACCAGAATATTAAATAAAATATAATTCTGCCCTTTCTAAACCCAGATATAGTACTTCCCAAAAAGCTTTCAATTATTTTTTATGAGTTCACAATCCAAACTCTATTTACCCTGAGGTGGGGGGCACACCTGCTCAGCTCTACTTACTTAACTACAGGAGAACTTTTCGCTTCCTCCACAGGAAAAGGTGATCCACGATCATTCTCAGGGTCCAATGGCACAGCTGGATGCTGGCACGGTGCTTCAACGTCTTTTAAAGTATCTTTTTTTTCACTTTTAGACACAGGAGACTCTGTCTTTTTAGAAGTAGCTATGTAATCAGGTGTTGCAGGCTTCAGACATGATTCACATGACTGTCCTGCCATATATATAGAACAGGTTTAATTCTTTTACTTAAAATCTTACAAAATCCCAAGAAATAGTTACTTTAAAAACTTTAATTCAGTAATAGTGTGACCAACCTCTGCTGCTGACTGGTTTTAGCAGTGATGCAGGTGAGGGTTCTGCAGACTTACAGGCTCCTTTCACAGAGTTGGCTGACCCTGCCTTGGGCTGTCATAGTTGGTAACAAATAATGAGATGAAGTAAAATACTTGATAAAGCAACAGCATTTTAACAGGAATATACATTTCTATAGAACATGAATACAACTTATGTTCTTCCCTTAATTCATACTCATTCAAATCAGTTCCATTTCACCTAAACACTTCAACTTTCTATGGTGTAAAACTCCCTAAAAGTAACTGTAAATTTCAAACAACAGGTAAAACAGTGCGTACAGTAAAAATTTATATGCAGCTTTAACCAGACATCTGGCTAATCTCAAGGTAAACTACTTATTATTGTCATTAGAATGAATTAATTTAAACTATTTAATTACCCTTTACTAGGACAGGCTGAGGTTAAGCAAGAATTGATTTGCGATTATATTCTAACATCAGACTAAATTAAACAAATACTGTTATAAGGTTGCCTCTTCTAAATCCTGCCATTAATAGAATATCTACTTAAAAGAAAAAAGTAAAATCAAAATATTAAAACTAAATATACAGTCTAGATTATTGGCATCATCCTCTCAGGCAGCACATTAACAAGGCCTTCACCTTGCTTCCACTCATCAACAAAGTTACAGACATATGAAGTTATTGTACAGATAACTACCAGGAGTTATCCAGCTGCTTTTCTACATGAATCCCCTTTAAATTTTACTGCCCATCTGATAGCTAAGAACTGTGCCCATATATTTGGCAAAGTGATCACAACCAGCTCCATTGGAGTCCAAGACAGCCACACCCACCACCAGTAATAAGGCAGCGTGCTTCAGCCGCAGATGATGAGAAATTTAACTATCCTGGACAAAAAGCTGAAGAACCTTTCATTCTAAGTAAAAACCCAAGGAAAAAGCTATTAAATAATTCTACTTATAGAATATTTACTATTAGAGCACAACAAACTACAAAAACCCACACATTTTCAACAACTATCATGGACCATTAAATTGTAGCCTACATACTTTTACAGGTGCTTACACACAACTAAATGCTACAGAATTGAACTTGTACCCACATGAACCTGTATCCAGTGCTACACTATGACACTGACAGAACTTAGCCTTTGTCTCTGGACTGAAGTCCTCTTCTCATTTTTCAAAAGAAAGCTTGAGCAATTTGGAGAGTTTATTGTAAGATCACTGCTGCAACCTATGAAGAAAAAAACAGTAAATATGGGAATCTTGGAATTGTCCAGGTTTTATTTATTTTAACAAGTTCTAAGGCTCACTAAGGTCATGTAAATCCAAATAAGAAAGGAATCAGATGCTTGAGAAAGAGATTATAAGACAGCTAAGACACTTAAAAAGCTGAGAAGTGGCTGTTCTTAAAAACCCTGAGAAATACTATTTTTATCCATTTTATCCCTATTTTTTATTTCTATGTACTTACCACTAAATATAACACAAGGAAGAAAATAAATCTTTTCTTTTATCAGCAAATCAAGCAAAACACCAAAGAAGAGCTTACTTTCAAAACAATCCTGTATGAGTTTCAGTACGTTTTGACCTGGCTGTAGATCAATCTTATTTCTAGAAAGAAGAGGGAAAAATATTTTCAATCAAAAATGCCAAATGCTCTTATCCCAAATATTGAAGCAGCAAAGTTTTACTTCTAAATATTTTAGGTTATTACTTCTTCTAGTTCAAACTTTAATATATTTTTACCTATCATTTCCATGCATAGATATCTGCAAAGAAATTTGTCTAAGTAGGAATTCCAGGAAAAAAGCCTCACTGCCACACATTATAATAAGAATGAAGAATTCTCTCTACATTAAAGAAAACATGCAACTACTGCAACAGCCCTGAGGTAAATGAGCTTTAGGCTGACGAGTCTCACTTGAATAAGTAATTTTTTTATAAATCAGACCTGGAACTATGTTGCCTGCACAGTGATGCAGTCTCAGCAGATGGAGAACCAGGCCTGAGGTTTCCTATCCATAAGCAAGTGACCAGCTCAGCTGGTTGGATTATTATTTCAAACCAGCACAAATGGGAAGATGTGAGTGATTCACCAGCCAGACAATGTTGATCAAAACCAAAACAACACTAGAAAAGCCACGGAGTTTTACTCCCATAATGATCATGATATACCTTTAAAAACAGCTAAATGTGTACATTTGGTAAGCTCATGAAATGCATTTCCAGAAATGGATTTCAGCAACAAAAACTTCACAGACACGTAACACACATGTAAAGAACATCACAGCACTGCAAATGCTCAAACTCATCTCTAGCATTTACCACCAAGGTCCAAATATGCTGGAACTCTGCCTGGGCTTCATTTTTTTCTCTGCTCCTTGAAAGGCAACACGTTTGCACAGATTACTGCTTCCCTACTCAGGCAGCCCAGTCAGGAGTACCTTAGGTACAGCCACACCACAATCTGCTGCCTCAGCAAGGAAAACCTCAGAGCCTCGTCCCCCAACAGAGATTGCTCCTTTTACCACTAAGAAACACAAGACATTTGGGAAACATCATATGATCAGTTTAATAAGGTACATCAAGTAGTTTTGACATTTAGCTCTAAGATAAAAATCAAGGTAAGTTTTCCAGAATCAAAGAATAGGTGTTTAAATGCAAATTACCCTTCTCCATGGCAGAATCTTGTTCTGTAGTCTTTTTTTAAACGATTCTGTGAAGAAATAAGAATCAATTTTTACCAAGCATGATGACACTTGATAGAAAAACAAGTTAGCAGATCTAGAGGATTCTCGAGACATCTTGAAGTAGTGGGAGAGGGGGAGTTAGTGCAGCCCCTTCATACACTTGAAACCCAAGTATAACCAGTCATTCAAACAGCAGACAGGACCCGAGTCATTTACCACAACCAGAGCAGTAATAATTCAAGCAGTAGCACATTCTCTGTGGAATCAAATAAAGCTGCTGACCTGGGAACCAGCAATGGTTGTAGAGTATAAAACGGGAATGAAGGGCAAGAAAAATTCAACAGCAAAGCAGAGTGCAGTTCTTCACAAATGCGACAGGAAAATATCTCAAAAAAATGTAAATGTTTAGCTGAAAAACAACTATAACCTCTTCCTGATTCATGTAAACTTAGAATATTTAGCAATGCGGAGAGTATCTAATCCTAACACAAGAGAATTCTGCACGTTGTTCTGAAGTTTGCCATATGACAGTACTTTGCATTTCATCGTGATTCCCCTTTGGATATTACTTTCGGTATCAAAAACAATCAAACTCTACATGGATAGACTTCACTGCAAATTTTCAACATCGGCAGAAGGAAGATACCAATGACACGGGAAAACGACTGACCAAAAGCCACCACTTCAGAAACTACACGGAAGCACACTCCGCAGTCAATCCGGCACTCCAACAAAAACTTAAACCCCCTTCCCTTCGCAGCAGAGCGACGCGTAATGCATTGGCAAGTGACCTTGCGCACTAAGAAATTAAAAATTCCTGTCAAGGACCTAAAAGAGCCTTTAACAGTTCATTTATTATTGTGTTCGTGTCGCGCTACACATGAAGAATTTTAAAACTTAAGCACGATTCTGGCGTGCCTGCACAAGCGTCCTGCTCTTGATGTGCTCACTCTCCCGTGGAAGTCGGCTCTCCAGAGGCAGCCTCAGGGCAACGGGGTCTGGCACAGACAGCGGTGCGCAGAGGGGAACGGGGCTCCCGACAGACCAGCCCTCCGAGCACAAATGTCTGTGCCACCCGCCCGGACCCGGAGTGAGCGCGGAACCCGAACGCCAGCCTCGCTCTCCTCATGGGGAAGCGCAAGAGCGGCCCCGTCCCTCCCCTCAGGAGCGCGCCGAGGGCCGCGCCACTGCGCTACGGACGGGCCCGGCCGCCGCCCACAACAAACCAGACAGACAGACAGACAGAGACGCAGACAGAGACACACGAGCAGACATACAGAGACACAGAGACCGGCCGCTGCCGCGCTCTCTCACCAAGGCCTGCGCCATCCCGGACCGGGGCCGGCGCGAGCGCGCCCCCAGCGCCGCGTTCGAATCTCGCGCGCCGTTGCCGGCGGGCGCGCGCGCACGGCCGGCGGGCGGCAGCGCCCCGGCCACGCCCCCCCGGCCCCGTCCCATTGGTCGGCGGCAGCCGCGCGCCCGGCAGGGCAGCTCCTTTAGGCGCGCGCTGCTGTTGCGCCTGCGCAAAAGGAGCTGCTGCGCCCGTCCGCCCTCCCCCTTCTCCTGTCCGCCTTTCTCTGAGGGGACGGGCGCGGGATGCTTCCCGTTCTTTTATTGCGCCCGTGGGAAACGCCAGTTCAAATCTTCGGGTTTCCAATCGCTACAAAGCATCCCTTGTCACCACGCGGCGTTGCAATTTTTTCTTTAAAATTCTACTGAAGAACTCAACAACGAGCAAAAAACAACTACTGCTTGAGAACGTGAGGTCGCAGTACCTTACAGTGCCGGCAAAACACTGCCCAAAAGTACAGTTTTAAGTGATGCTTTTTATCACACACTTGTGACCGGAACACCAAGTCTTATCCCTATCCTTTCTGACCACTAAAGGAAAAGCCCGAAGTACGCCATAACGTGGGAGGTTAGCACTTTCTTTTCACGAAAATAGTTTAGATCACTTTGTGAAGAGGGTGCGGCTCAGTATGCAGCAGATCAGAGCTGCAGCTTTTTTCCTACGAAATTGAAACTTGTATGCTGCTGGGAGAAGTGGTAATTTAACACCCCTTCCCTGTCTCCCACCTGTGCCATACAAAAGGATGCACGTCACCAACACAGTTCTGCTGTTAGCAATGCTTATGGAATGCTTATGGAACTTAAGGCACCTTTAAGCTTGAGCCTCAATAGCTTTGTGCACCACGGATAAGCACCTGCACCAGCTACTTAATCAACCACACACAATATACCTTTACTAAAATAAATATTCAAAAGGTCTCTGGTCAAATTTATCAACCTTTGGACAAAGGTTTAGATTGGTGCACTGTGCTGTACATTTGCTTTCTGTAATTGCACAGGGATTTATAAACTTTCAAGTTAAATTCAGCTTTTGGCTGAAATTCAGTTCCTTTCCTCAAACTACTGGCCTACATCCACATTGTTTCAAAGACACAAGGAAAATAACAAACATGAATATCATAAACTTATCTAAAATCTTTACTTGTATTTGATGACAAGTCTGACAGGTGTATGGACTCTGTGCCTAGCTCAAACCCGTATTATTTCAGGACGTGAAAAGCCATGAAGAGGTGACAGCCTAAATGGTGCCAGAGTTGTTCTCCCTATATACCACTATTCTTGAATAGCTTTATCTTTTTAATAAGCAGTCACATATTGCACTGTACATAGGAAAAGGGTGGGAAAATAATATGGAAACATCTACTTTTTACTTGTGGTATAGATAATAAAAGCTTAAGTCCATCTGATCCATCAAAGCAGTCTTGTTAACAGTATTGAGACCCTCACACAGAATCCTCACGACTTCTAATATTAAAGAAACCTGATGACTAACCAGAGAAAAGTTGATCTGGCTGCTTAATACTTGGCATGCACAAATTAATTAACTGCATCTATTAAGAGTGATAGAAATTCAGAGAAAGCTGGTATAAATATGAGCAAACTCTTCAAGAAAGCATTTGAGTGAGAAAGATCTTCATTACTGATAAAAACGTCATTTCTGCAAATCAATTGCTCTCTCAAAGAATAACACTTTGAAAGAAAGCTATTTGAAGTGCTCCAGTGGAAAGACAGTTCTTCATTGTGGCAGGAAGACAGCAAGCTTTAGCTGCTCCACAGGAATTGTGCATCAGTCCTAGACAAATACAAGCTTTCACTGCTATGAACAAAAATAAAAAGGAAAAGAGATAAAGAAGTTCTCAGGTTCCAAGTAACGCTATAATCCTCTAGCTTGGTAGCACTGTGACAACATGGGAGATTTGGAAGATCAGCACCCCAAAATTCACTTTCCCAGAGCCTTTTTAGTATGATCATGCCGATTACCTGCAGAGACTTTTGATAAAAAGTAGGAACAGATTGAGAAACAGGCTCTATCAAACACAAATACTGAATCTGTGTACTCCACAATCTTCTATATAAACACCTTTACTGAATCAGTGTACTCCACAATCTTCCATATAAACACCTTCACTCTCTATATCAGAAATTCAAAAATGTTTAAAGCATCAAGAACAGTTTTAGCGAGCCACTTGACATACCGAGTTCTTCTACAGGAAGTCCTCTTCAAGTTACTAGTTCTGAGATTTTACCTAGATTAATTTATATCCAAAAATTTTAAAGATGTGCTAATAAATATCTAGAGTCGTTGTGCATTTTTAGTTTTTCCATAACCAACTTTTTAACTGAGCAGAACCCACCCACAGAGCATCCATCCATCCAACAGACACACACAATAAGAGCAGCATAAAGATAAAGCAATATCTGTAAATTCTGGCTGTGATCCCTTGACCTGGACTTTTTACAAGGCTCTCAAAGGTGTACATGTTGTCATTAGTAAAAACCATTGCATGAATTATATCTGACAGTTTACTTCAAACCCTGAGGACAGTCATATAGCATTCTAGAGTAGTACTGAGACTTTATTTTTAAATGCTGCTTATTTCAAAAGCATAAGCATGATGTTGACACCACACTAACGTGACAAAGTATACTTACTCAAAGTTTCATTTCCCAGCCTCCAATTGTGAGAGGTGACTGTTTTCTTGTTGACCTAAACCTTTAAGTGATCCTTAGCACTAATTAGTGACATCATTACATTAAATGTGAAGACATCCCTAAAGCTTAATAAACTATGATTGAGGATAAAGAGCTAAGTTGTTAATAGCTTTTGCAACAGCTGCAGGACATAATGTTCAATAACAATCTCTAAAGCTGAAACACATGAGAGAGTATTTCAATTTATAAGTTTTTATTCTAACCTTGCCTTGCTCTACTGTGATGGGGAGAAAAAAAGAACTACCTCAAGTACCCAGTGCTTAAAGGAGTTAAATTACGGTGTTTTTGTAACCCACCTGTGCCTCACCACAGCAGCAAAACCAGTCTATAATGATTTCCAATTAAGCATAAATTTTATAATTACATATCCCAATAACTGACCAGTGAGGGTAAAACCTTGTGGTTCAGTGCAGCTCAGACTGGTTCTGAGGACAGGTGTACAACAACTTGCTCTAGGGAAATGGTACCAAAAGAAGCAGCTGAAGTAACAGTTTGCTCTGACAAACATCCAGTGGTATTTGTCTTTTCCTCCCTTTAACCTCATCAAGTGCTATAGTGATTTTAATTTGGTGAGGGCAGAAAGGCTCAACCACATTTTCTCTTTGTTGAAGACCAAGTTTTATTGTTCAAAGTGCTAATTTGGCTCTCCGGTAGGTTTTCACTGCAGTATTCCACAAAGAACAGTCTTAGTGCAGATAATCAACAATTCCAGCTCTCTGGACTTCAGGGGAGTTTTGACAATTTACACCCCCTCCCTCTGTTTCCATGTTGAGACTGACACAAGATAGCTGCGCTGAGCAGGGCTCCACTAAGCAGCCACACAAGAAAGCAGTTCCTCTGCTTTTAAGTGGGAGTTTAAGCCTTTCAGGTGGATCTAATCTCACATGTAGATGGCAAGAATGAAATTCTTGTTTTGAGAATGGAGTAACATATGAAATGTTTGAGATGTTCTTGGAACACCAACAGTATCATAAAATGGTGCTTTTCCTATTTTTTGCACTCTTCCCTAAGCAAATGCAAATTGCCTAATTTTCAAATGGGGACCATTTCTTAGGTTCACCCTTCTTCTTGCTTTCTTGAATATAAATCTTGCCTTTAAGGTAAGGACTGTACTGGACATTCCATCTCGTGGAGTGACCAATCCTTCTTTGAAGACAGGCTTGAAGGATATAGGAGCAGAAGAAACAAATCCAGTTTGTCTTCAGTGCAAAGCCACTGATTTTCACCATTTAATTAAGGCTTCACCAAAAAGAAATATATAGTACCATCTTTAATAGCTGAAAATTAGCACACTCCTTTCAGAACAAATGGTCCATGAGTGACTTTTGTGTCTCTACCATCAATTGTCTTCCTGAACAAAGTAGTATCTCACTGGTGGCCCGGGCAAGTCTTCCTCTCCATCAGTCTCTGGAGCAAATGATACTGTCAAGTCCACATACTTCTTATCAGCTGATGGTTTCACAAGCTTTTGCATCCTATAAAGAAATGAGCAGTTCATAAATGCACTAGGAGGATTGGCACTGGGAATTCAGGGCCAGACTAGGAGGAAGTTCACTGCCAGCAATATGTACTGGCCCAGCACACTAGAGACCAAATTAAAATAAAGAATAAGCCACCTCTAAATTGCACACAAAAGCTGTTCCTCCTCCTGAGCTTCAGCAATTCGTATTCCCTTTTCCTGACAGCCCATTAAAGTCTCAGAGTAGTAAAAAATCCTGATATTCACAAGAAGGCAGCTTCATACCAAAGTTCATACCATGACTTTGACTTCATTACATACCCCACTCATTCAAAATTATTTATACAGCTGTAAGAGAAAGCATATAAAAAATGTTTTTGGAGACAGGCTGTAAATTCTCATCTTAGTATGCCAGGCACTCTACAGATTGGCAGCTCTTCTCTCCCCAGGTGTTTGAAGTAGCTTGCTCATACCTCTCTGCCTACTGTCAGGCCTTCAAAACAGTACTGATCGGTGCATCCACTTGCTTCAGCAAAGCCTGTGAGCACTGACTACCACACACTTCACAGGAGATGTAAGGAACAGATTTTGAGCTAAAGTAGTTCAATCCACAGGTGTAAGGCAGAACTAAACCTGGGTGAAATCTGGCTGTTATTTTGCAAAGACCTTCAGTCAAAACCCAATGCCTTGCCTTCACACCCTGCCAAACTGCCAGGGTGAAATACCTCAATTTCCTGTCTGTAAGCAGCATAGCAAAGCCTTTGTGAATGTCATCATTCTTAAAAGGGCTGAAGTCATGTAGAATCTC